TCCAGCCTGGGCGACAGAGCGAGACTCCGTCTCAAAAAAAAAAAAAAATTTTTTTTAAATAATGAGTTATATTTATACCTGTTATACCTGTTGACCTGAGGAGAATTTTGAGAGTCCACAGAAAAACAAAAAAAAATTGTTATAGGTCAGAAGTCCCACACTGGTCTCAGTGGGCTGAAATCAAGGTATTGGCAGGGTTATGTTCCTTCTGGAGGCTCTAGGGGAAAATCCATTTCCTGCTCATTCAAGTTGTTGGCAGAATCCAATTCCTTGAGGTCATAGGACTGAATTCCCTGTTTCTTTACTGTCTATCAGCTGATGGCCATTCCCAGCTTTAAGAGGCTGCCCACAGTCCTTGGCTCTGAGCCCCCTTCCTCCATCTTCAAAGCCAACAATGGCAGGTTGAGTCCCTCTCACATTTTGAATCTCCCCTGCCTCTTCTGTCATCACATCTCTGAGCTACCTTTCTTTCTTCATCATCTGCTTTTCAGAGCTCATATGATTAGATTGAATTTAATCAAATAATCCAGAAATAATCTCCCTGTCTTAAGGTTTGTAACCTTAATTTCATCTGCAAAGTTCTTTTCTGCTATGTAGTGTAAATAACATACAGGTTCCAAGGATTAGGATGTGGAGTAGGGGTGGCATCATTTGGCCTACCACAGTCTGTCCTCTGACCGCCACAGATTCACATTTGTCCCACAGGCAAAATACATTCACACCATCCTAAGATACTCATGAGTTGTATCCCATCACAGGGAGCATCCCAAGCTGGACTGGGGAGCTAGAAGTTAGTCTGGGAATGTTTAGGGAATGATGGTAGGGTTTGAGGACAGAGATGGAGAAAAGATGACAAAAAAAGGAATCCTCCTCCCGCTGACCTCTGCCCCTCCTATGTCCACAGCCTCTCAACTCAGCTGTTTGCTCTCCAGGTACCCCTGGGATGGCGTGAGCACTCCCCCAGCGATGGACCCATCTGTGACGCTGTGGCAGTTTCTGCTGCAGCTGCTGAGAGAGCAAGGCAATGGCCACATCATCTCCTGGACTTCACGGGATGGTGGTGAATTCAAGCTGGTGGATGCAGAGGAGGTGGCCCGTCTGTGGGGGCTACGCAAGAACAAGACCAACATGAATTACGACAAGCTCAGCCGGGCCTTGCGGTACTACTATGACAAGGTACAGTCTCTCAGACCAGGGCTGGGACCCCCGCTAACATTTATATCAGAGATTTGATTTTGTTTTGATTGCCATAGCTATGACTTTGAAAACAATGTTAAAATTTATCAGTTTTTAACCCATCCATTGGTACCGTCAGGCCAGTATTGGGCCCCTAAGCACTATCTCACCTACTTTCTTGTCTTACTGCTTTGGCAAAAACCATCATTGCATTATTAATACTGACTCCTACTCCCACTCTGAGATCCCCAAAGTGATGCTGCCCTGCCATGCACATTTCATTTTCGTGTCATATTCCTATAGCCAACATTTTGAAAACATGGTTAATAATGGCTGGTCCTCATTCTGTCCTCTAGAAGCCCTAGACCAGTGCTGGGCTTCCCTAGTTATTTCATAGTCTTCTCTTATTCCAGAATATTTCGTATTCCTAGAATCAAAACCTCCCTGACAGTATTATACCAACTTTTGCTTACTTTGTCCTCTGGGACCCCAACATTTTTAACCAATTATTTTCTTCTCTTATTCCTTAAGCTAAAACCTCTGCAACAACATGTTTAGTACCAGCTTCCACACCCTATCTTCTCAAATTCCCAGAGCAGCACTGGTCTACCCCAATATTTATATCAATTGTTTTCATTATCTTATTCCTACAGCTAAAATTTAAAATTTCCCCCATTCTGCCCTCTCAGACCCCCAGGCCACTGCTGGGTTTCCCCTCCCCCCAATATTTATACAAGTTATTTCATCTCCTTATTCCTCCTGCTGAAACTTCCCAAACAGTATTCATGAATATCCTTTTTTGTTCCTCTTTTGAGAAACACGGGCCCACCCTGTGACATATCTGACCAGCACTAAGACTTCCGCAGAATGCCCTAGTGCTCCCACACTCCTCTTGCCCGTGGCCCCCAGAACAGCCCTGGACCTATGCTGCACACCCTTCATAGTTTATGGCATTTATTCCATTTTCATATTTTATTCCTTGAGCTCAACCCTCCAGAACAATATTAGTAATGAGGCTCCCTCACTGTGCCCTCTGGGAACACTAGGTCATCTCTGAGACCCACCAGACCTGAAAAACCCCAAACATGCTCTGTGACCCACCCAAGCCAGCCTTGATATAGGCCCTCTCCCAATATTTATACCATTATTTTTAATATTCTTGTCTAATTGCTGTTAGTTACTTCATTTTCTTACCGCTTTAGCTTCAACCTCCACAGTGGTATTAATAATGAGGCCTCCTCAGCCTCTCCTCTGCAGTGACCTTGCCCTATTCCACTTCTGTGTCATTAGCTTCAAATAATCCTCTGTATTAATAATTTATCGCCCCATCCATCTACATTAATTTCCTTTCTTCCAACATTTATATCAGTTACTTCATTTTCTTGTCTTACTGCATTTGCTAGTCTCCAAAACTGTGTCCTGACAGTCACCCACAAGGCCTGGCCTGTGAACCCCTGGTTCTTGGAGCCAAGAAGACTTGCTCCCACGCCTACTACCTTCCCTTCACGGGCCCCATTGTGAAGAGGAGCCACAGTGTGGAGGGGGTGGGAAAATCAGATAGATGGACCTGGAGAGTGACAGTGACAGAGGGAGGCTTGGAAAGGGGTGGATGGGAAGGGGCTTAAAGACAGAATTGTTGTGGAGAGAAGAGAGAAAGGGGAGGAACTGGGGAGGGATATAGATAAGGGGAATCTAGGGGGAGAGGAAAGAGGTAGAAACCAACGGGAGAGGAAATGGGCTGATAGGCTGAGAGGGGAACTTACAGAGGAGGGACAGGAAAGCCAGAGAGGGGCAAGTGGGAAGAGAGCCACTAGGAGAAGAGAAACACCACTCCACCCATCATACACACACCCTGCCTCCAGCCTGCCCCTTTCCTCTCAGGCCCTCTGTTCCTCTCCTCCCTTTCTAGAACATCATCCGCAAGGTGAGCGGCCAGAAGTTCGTCTACAAGTTTGTGTCCTATCCTGAGGTCGCAGGGTGCTCCACTGAGGACTGCCCGCCCCAGCCAGAGGTGTCTGTTACCTCCGCCATGCCAAATGTGGCCCCTGCTGCTGTACATGCCGCCCCAGGGGACACTGCCTCTGGAAAGCCAGGCACACCCAAGGGTGCAGGAATGGCAGGCCCAGGTGGTTTGGCACGCAGCAGCCGGAACGAGTACATGCGTTCGGGCCTCTATTCCACCTTCACCATCCAGTCTCTGCAGCCACAGCCACCCCCTCATCCTCGGCCTGCTGTGGTGCTCCCCAATGCAGCTCCTGCAGGAGCAGCAGCGCCCCCCTCGGGGAGCAGGAGCACCAGTCCAAGCCCCTTGGAGGCCTGCCTGGAGGCTGAGGAGGCCGGCTTGCCTCTGCAGGTAAGGACTGGAATATAGAAATCCAGTAAGAGGAGGCAGTAAAGAGGACGGATGTGTAATCCCCAGATGATGAGGGAGGCTGGTAGAAGAGACATAGTGCTCCTGTTAAAGGAGATAATGGTGGAAGGAAGAACACAGACATCCTCTTAGAAGGAGGGATGGGGCAGAGAGCTACACAAATCCTGAGACAGAAAGGGGAGAATACTGTGCTACAGTTAGTAGCTGCCGAACATGTAGGTGCCTGAAATATATTTGTTTAATGCACTAGTTCTCAACTCTAGCGCTCATCAGAATCACCTGTAGGGCTTGTTAAACCACAGATTGCCAGGCACACCCCCAGAGTTTCTGAATATGTGGGGCTGGGGAGGGGCCCAATAATTTGTATTTTTAACTTGTTACCAAATGAGGCAGATGTTGCTGGTTCAGAGGAAGGTAAATTTTTGAGAACCACTGTTTTAATGAATGAGGATGGTATCCCTCAGATTCCTACCTGCTTCAGGTTGTCTTACCCCAAGTCCCCTGTCCCATAGGAGGACTTGCCCCAGAGGAAGCCCTACTTCCTTGATGAAGTCCTATGTCCTGTTGGAGAACCTGCTCTGATGTGTAGTCATGCCCCCAGTACCAAGTGCCACTTTCCCGGGGAAATCACTGGGTAGCCCACAGGAGAATCCTGTGGCCCCAACAATCCTTACCCTCTTTGTACCTGCTCCTCTCCCAGGTCATCCTGACTCCGCCCGAGGCCCTAAACCTGAAATCGGAAGAGCTGAATGTGGACCCAGGTTTGGGCCGGGCTTTGCCCCCAGAAGTGAAAGTGGAAGGGCCCAAGGAAGAGTTGGAAGTTGCCAGGGAGAGAGGGTTTGTGTCGGAAACTACCAAGGCCGAGCCAGAAGTCCCTCCACAGGAGGGCGTGCCAGCCCGGCTGCCCGCGGTTGTTATGGACACCGCAGGGCAGGCGGGCGGCCACGCAGCTTCCAGCCCTGAGATCTCCCAGCCACAAAAGGGCCGGAAGCCCCGGGACCTAGAGCTTCCACTCAGCCCGAGCCTGCTCGGTGGGCCAGGACCCGAACGGACCCCAGGATCGGGAACTGGCTCCGGCCTCCAGGCGCCTGGGCCGGCGCTAACTCCGTCCCTACTTCCTACGCATACATTGGTGAGTGCCTGCGGAGGGGTGGGATGGGTGGGTGCCAACCCCAATGGGACTGGCATGTGGCAGGTGACTAACAGGAATCAGAGGAGGGCGAATGTGGTTGTCCCTGAAGAGGGTGGAGCCTTCGAGTGTGATTGACTGGGCTGACGCTGGACTGGAGGGATGGGGTTTGATTAGTGAAGGGCAGGGCTGGGGACTTTTGTGGGTGGGACCAAGGGGCTTTCTGTGGGACTGTTTCTGGGTTGGGGTGTGGCTTAAGGAACCTGAGCAGGGTTTTTTGGTCTGGGATTTGCATATGGGATTTCACGGGTGGGACATGAGTTAGAAGTTGACCCTGAGCTGTTTGGATGGTGACTTGAGAGCAGCATTTGGATAGGGTCTTGTGGGTGGTCTTGACCAATGAGGTCTCTGAGGGTGGGCTCTCGGGAATAGGGAGTGGGGGGTGTCTACGGAGTTTGAGAGATCGTAGGCATGGTCTCCATAGTTACCATCTAGGTGTGTGCACTTTGGGGAGTGACCCTGGGAGTGTGAGTGGGAAATCTGTGGTGGGGCTAGGCCCAAGTCCCTTCCAGCATCCCACATCTACTCTCTACTCACTTGAGCTCCAACCACCCTCTCCCCGCAGACCCCGGTGCTGCTGACACCCAGCTCGCTGCCTCCCAGCATTCACTTCTGGAGCACCCTGAGTCCCATTGCGCCCCGTAGCCCGGCCAAGCTCTCCTTCCAGGTAGGATCCTCTTTCCCCATTTTGGACAGGGTGACAGACCCAAGAATGGCCCCCATCTGTGACCTCTCCCTCTTTTTACCCCCAGTTTCCATCCAGTGGCAGCGCCCAGGTGCACATCCCTTCCATCAGCGTGGATGGCCTCTCGACCCCCGTGGTGCTCTCCCCAGGGCCCCAGAAGCCATGACTACTACCACCACCACCGCCACCACCACCACTACCCCTTCTGGGGTCACTCCATCCATGCTCTCTCCAGCCAGCCATCTCAAGGAGAAACATAGTTCAACTGAAAGACTCATGCTCTGATTGTGGGGGGGTGGGGATCCTTGGGAAGAATGACTCCCAAGAGTGATTCTCATTATCTCCTCCACAGAAAACACACAGCTTCCACAACGTCTCTGTTTTCTGTCAGTCCCCCAGTGGCCGCCCGTACACGTCTCCTACATCAATGGTAGGGGCGGTTTATTTATTTATTTTTTGAAGGCCACTGGGAGGAGCCTGACCTAACCTTTTAGGGTGGTTAGGACATCTCCCCCACCTCCCCACTTTTTTCCCCAAGACAAGACAATCGGGGTCTGGCTTGAGAACGACCTTTCTTTCTTTATTTCTCAGCCTGCCCTTGGGGAGATGAGGGAGCCCTGTCTCCATTTTCAGATGTGAGTAGAAGAGTTAGTTTGTTTTGTTTTATTATTCCTGGCCATACTCAGGGGTCCAGGAAGAATTTGTACCATTTAATGGGTTGGGAGTCTTGGCCAAGGAAGAATCACACCCTTGGAATAGAAATTTCCACCTCCCCAGCCTTTCTCTCAGACAGCTTATCCTTTTTCAACCAACTTTGGCCAGGGAGGAATGTCCCTTTTGTTGTTCTTCCCCCTGAAAAGCCATTCCTTTGTCTGCCAACCTCCCTGGGGTCCTGCCTGTTTCCTCCCAATGGAGGGTTTTTTTGGGGGGTGGTCCCCGTCTGGGGGGCCCCTCCAGCCAGTTCTCCAGGTCTCCCTGTCTCTCCCCCGCTGCCATTTTGATAGTATAATCTATTTTTAAATGGGGCTTTTCAATAGGGGAGAGGGAGTCATCTCTTCCTATATTTGGTGGGGTGGGTGGGAAGGAAGGGATTTGGGGGGGAATCTTCCTGCCGCCTCCCCCCTCCAAGTGTTTATTTTTGATACCAAACGTGTATTTTCAGTTCCCTCCCTCCCAGCCCCCCAATTTCCTGCGGGCGGGTACAAAGGACCCTTTCAATGTCCCTGGAGTTGGGAGGGAGGAATGGAGGACATAAAGCCTGTCCTGTCTCTATTCTAGGCAAGAGAGAGTGGGTTCAAAAGACTCCTGGGCTCACCTGTTAGCGCTGGCCCAGCCCAGGCCTCGGGACCTGGGGGTTGGTGATTTGGGGGACGGTGCTACACTCGTCTCCACTGTTTGTTTTACTTCCCCAAAATGGACCTTTTTTTTTTCTAAAGAGTCCCAGAGAATGGGGAATTGTTCCTGTAAATATATATTTTTCAAAGTGATGCTGGAGGCTGCTGGCACTTTTTCTCTGATGTAAGGACCAGCTGAGTGTGACAAGCATGACTGTGTGGAGGGTGTGAGGCAGAGGTTGATCGTGAGAGAAATGGTGTGATGGCGTGTGTGAGAAACAGTAGTAGGGACTGCATATTGGTAACCACGTGTGTGTCAGAGATGTGGAAAGCTGTGATTGTATGTGAGAGAGTACAGAAGTTGTGACCACAGACTTTTGATGGTGTGTCTATGTGGGAAATCGCGGCCGTGTTTCAGAAAATAACTGAGCCTGGACGAGTAGTCAAGGTACTGTACAAGAACCTGTGATGGTATGCACAAAATAATATCTACGAGAAGAGAGTGGGGACTGCAGCCCCGTCAGTGTTTGATGGTGAGCAAGACAGACTGAGTGACCAAAACCACATGTGAGAGACTACGTGGGCATGAAACTACAGGAGAGGTTGTCAGGGATTGTGGCAAAGATTGTATAGGTGACAAACCTCATTATAGGCGACTCAACGTTTGAGAAATAGACAATGTACAAAACTACTTGAGGCTGTAGCGTCAGCTAAAGCTGTAAGACTATGGGTGCGAACTTGATCGTACGAGAGAGAATGGCTATGAGACCAAACCAGCAACTGAGACCAAAGATACAAGAAGGTGCAACTGTGTGTACGAAAGCAGGCGTGAGAGACTGTGTAGCAAAGACTGAGAAAACGAATGGCTGTGACTGGGGGAGAGTGACAGGCCGTGTGTGTGTGTGTGTGTGTGTGTACACCTGAAACTAGTGGCAAATCGATTTACTGTTACTGCCACATTCTGTCCCACAGGTTCAGGAACTGTGAGGAAGTGGGGGAGAAAATGACAGCCGGACGGAGCCACTGACATGGTGTGAGAGACCGTGTCACTGGGCGTGCGAGGGAAAGGGGCAAGGAACTGTTGATGAGAGACTTGCAGTAGCAGTAACTGGGAGTCAGCAACTGTGGGAGAGGAACTTGACAACTGAGTGATGTCAGAGCGTCAGGGGGTTTATGAAACAGTTCATAAGCAACCATAAATCCAGGGCCATGCAAAAGAGCTGAGCAAATGAGACATGGCGAGTGACCACATGGCGGTGTGTGAGAAACTTGTAAAGCTGTGCACGTGTGTCCATGCTGAGCTTCCCATATGAAGAAAATGACGGTGTGCACGACCAAGACAGGGCCTGGGTGACTGTGGGTGACTTATCAAGGGCCTAATGGTGATTGTGAAATAGTGACCGAGTATATCAGAAGCTGACTGAGGGACAGTGATGACTCAAGACAGTGGCTGAGAAACTGATTATACCATTGGTAAAACCCTTTGCAAGAGACTTTATGAAAGGCTGTAAATCAAGGACTGAGGGTGCTGGAAGCTGACTGGGAAGAAACGTGAGACTAGGTGACGACGGTGTCTGAGATACTGTGTGATTGTGTATGCGTGTGAATGTCTTCGTGGGAGAGGCTGTAATCGGGGATCGTGGGTGTGTGAAAAAGTGGCTTGAGTGAGAAAGGGGTAGGAGAGGTGATTTTTGTGCATGTGTGGGAAACTTCATGAGAGACTAGTTAGTGGTGACTATAAATCAGTGACTATTTGTGTATGTGAGAAAGTAACAGGCCAAATGAGTGGCTCAACATTTCATGAGATTGTGTGAGTGTGCATGCATATGTAAGGAACTGACTGGTGAGAGAAAATATTGGCAATATTGACTGAATGAGACAGGCTGTTAAACATGATTGTGTGTGTGAAACTGTTAGAAGGAGACTGTAGTAAGGCTGGAATCCATGACACAGAAAATGACTGTATGAGTGACAGAATGTCTGAGAGGCTGTGTGATTAAGAGAATATAGTAGAGGTTGTAAATCCAGGCTGGGTGCGGCGGCTCATGCTTGTAATCCCAGCACTTTGGGAGGCCGAGGTGGGAGGATCACTTGAGACCAGGAGCTTGAGACCAGCCTGGGCCACATGGTGAGACCCCATCTCTACTAAAACTTTAAAAAATTAGCATAACGTAGTATTGTGCACCTGTAATCCCAGCTACATGGGAGGCTGATGTGGGAGGACCACTTGAGGCTAGGAGTTTGAGTTTGAGACCAACCTGGGCAACATAGCAGGACCCTGCCGCTACTAAAATGAAAAACAAAAATTACCCAGGTATAGTGGTGCACACCTGTAGTCCCAGCTACTGAGGACCCTGAGGTGGGAGGGTCGCTTGAGCCCAGGACTTTGAGTTCGAGACCAGCCTGGACAATGTGGCAAAACTCTGTCTCTCCAAATAATTTTAAAAATTAGCCAGGTGTGGCGTATGCCTGTAGTCCCAGCTACTCGGGAGGCTGAGGTGGGAGGATGGCTTGAGCCCAGGAGGTTGAGGCTGCAGTCTGCGATGACGCCACTGCACTCCAGCCTGGGTAACAGAACCAGACCTTGTCTCAAAAAGAAAAGAAAAGAAAAAAACAGAACTGTGTAGATAGGTTTAAAAAAAGAGAGAGAGAAAATAACAGACCAAATGAGACTGTATGAGAGGCCACAGGTCAAATGTTCCAGGCCCTGGAGAAAAACCCTCTCTGTTTTTTCTCTTTCTCCACAGGCCCCTCCTGCTCAGTCCCCTGGGCCGGCTTCTCCTACTTCTCAAAAACTTGAAATACTGGGGTTCCCCAGGGCAAAGCCCTGGGACTCCTTTCTCTCTTCTCATGCATCCCCTCTAGGTCATCTTATCCCGGTCTTCGCACTTGAAATACAACTTACCCTCCATGGGATGCCCACATTTTTACCTCCAAGTCAGACTGTCCTTCTGGCACTTACCAGAATCTCTAAAGTTTTGTTTATTTCATTGATTGATTCATTTAGCAGATGTTTATTGAGCATCTACTGTTTGCTGGTGCCTATCTAATGTCCTGCAGACCCAGCAGTTAACAAGCCAGACAAAAATCCCTGCCCTTGTGGAACTGATATTTAGGGAGTGAGAATAACAAGCAGGCAAATACATAGTAGCAGGTAGGGATGTAATAAGTAAGACAAAACTCTCACTCTGTTTAAGAAATCTGCAGTCATTTTATTGCTAAACGTGTGGGAGAAGATAGAGTGCCGACAGTCCTCTTCCACAGGGAATCCTATGAGTATTTATACAGTTTAAAAACAAAGGAAATATTGATAATATTATTACCAGGGCAACAGGTGGTTAAATAAAGCAGCCAGCCAGTATTTCAGATATCTTTTCTTTTTTTTTTTTTTTTTTGAGACAGAGTCTCACTCTGTCGCCCAGGCTGGAGTGCTGTGGCACAATCTCAGCTCACTGCAGCCTCCGCCTCCCGAGTTCAAGTGATTCTCCTGCCTCAGTCTCCCAAGTAGCTGGGATTACAGGTGTCCGCCACCACACCTGGCTAATTTTTGTATTTTTAGTAGAGACGGGGTTTTACCATATTGGCCAGGCTGGTCTCGAACTCCTGACATCAGGTGATCCACCTGCCTTGATCTCCCAAAGTGTTGGGATTACAGGCATGAGCCACCGCGCCCAGCCAATTTCAGCTTTCTTGGAGAGTTTATTTTCACAGGATAACACAGCAATGATTGTCTTGAAGTCTTAGAATCTTAACAAGACTCCTTTGTTCAAAGCACATTTTCAAGGATAGGCTTATGTTATCAGAGAACAGAGTACATCTGTAATGGATACAGATATTAACACATACCTTACTGCCCATAAAACAAGTGTTCCTGAAGAACTTCTGTTTTAACAGCTGACCAAATTATTACATTTGAATTTGCAGAATGGTATCTCTCCCTGCCTCCCTGAGAGCAGAAGAAATTAGGCATTGCCCTCCTATCTTTCTTACACTTCTTTTTGTTAATTAAAAGCAAAATAAAATTTTAAAGCAAGCCCTGGAGTTTCATTAGGGTTTATTAAAAAAAAAAAAAAAAGAAAGGGCTAGTGTGATGGCTCATGCCTGTAATCCCAGCACTTTGGGAGGCTGAGGGTTGGGAGAAAATCTTGAAGCCAGGCATTTGAGACCAGCCTGGGCAACACAACAAGATCCCATCTATACAGAAAATAAAAACATTAGTTGTGTGGTGGTGTGTGCCTGTAGTCCCCGCTACTTGGGGACACTAAGGTGGGAAAATCAATTGAACCCAGGAGTTTGAGGCTGCAGTGAGCCATGATCAGACCACTGTACTCCAGCCCAGGTGACAGCAAGACTCTGTCTCTTTAAAAAAAAAAAAAAAAGTTTGAAAGCTACTGGGCTAGAGAGTGACAGGGATGCCAGACAAGGGTATGGGGAAGGCCTCTGTGAGGAGGGGGAATGTTTATTATCCATCTTCTCGAGGGCCAGGATTTTTGTCCTATTCTGTGCTCTAATGCTGAGAACCGCATCTGGCATCCAGTAGGTGCTCAATAAATGTTGAATAAATGTATCAAACACAGAACACCTACTATATGCCAGGCACTGTTCTAAGGACTTTCCAAAAGCTTAACTCCTGACCGGGCACTGTGACTCACGCCTGTAATCCTAGCACTTTGGGAGGCCGAGGCAGGTGGATCACCTGAGGTCAGGAGTTCGAGACCAGCCTGGCCAACATGGTGAAACCCTGTCTCCACTAAAAATACAAAAATCAGCTGGACATGGTGGTGCACGCCTGTAATCCCAGCTATTTAGGAGGCTGAGGCAGGAGAATTGGTTGAAATCGGGAGGCAGAGGTTGCAGTGAGCTGAGATCATGACACTACACACCAGCCTGGGTGACAGAGCGAGACTCCATCTTGAAAAAACAAACAAAAGCTTAACTCACAATCTTTGCGACACACCCTACCTATGTCGTAGGTGCTGTCTGTGAGCACATTTTACAGAGGGGAAACAGGCTCCAGAAGGGGGGTGTTATCTGCCCGAGGGTTCTCTGATGGAACATGGCCCCGCTTGTTCCCTCCTAATCACCCCAGACCCTGGTGTTGTCCCCAGCTGGGCCCATGGGGCAATGGATAGCCCCTATTCCTCTCCTGAATC